GCTGTTCATAACACTTCCTACTTTGGAATAGACGTCAGCGCGAACTTTTGCATTTCCGCCATTACCTGCCCGAAACCGGAAGTGACGTCATTTTCGCGGAAATGTCGTCTTTTTTTCCATCAGGGCCTCAGGGCCTATACTGGTCTTTTTAAAAGTTATCTTTGACTTTATGACTTTCTGTGTCGTTTCTGGGATGCTTAGGACTCATATTGCACTGCTGGAAATAGTTTATTTTGATGCATATGCTGCTTTTTTGCAAATTTGCAGTATAATATTTATTTTCGTTTTTCCTGCAGTGTATAAAAATTAGAGATGGCACGATACCACTTTTTTATGTCCGATACCGATACCGATATCATAAATTTGGATATCTGCCGATACCGATATGAATCCGATATAGTGTTTTTTAATCAACAAAACTGTTTTTTAAAATATCTTGCTGCATTTTGCAAGTCTGCAAGTTCATACTCAAGTTTAAAACAACAACTACACTAAAGCTATTCTGTTATACCTGTATACAAAAAAAATATTTCATAGTTCAGCAATACTGATCAATCTAATAAACTTAGACCTACACCATCCTCCCTATTCTGGTATTTTAAAGAATACTTAGCGTAAATATTAAGCAACCTAACTAATAGGGTTCCAACTCCCAGCAACAACAAAATTAAATAAATAAAAAATAGGGAACCACCCCTCACGCTCCACCTCATGATGCTTAATCGACGTAATCAACCTTAATTTGATGCAGTGTGAAAAAAAATGCACAGAAATCAATTATTTTTCAAGAAATATTAAATAGATTCAACATCTTTCTTCAACAAAATTGCAGACTGCACAGATGGTACCTTCCCAAAGTAAAAAGTACTATAGCTTACTAGGGTATATATATTAGACTTAATAGTCACTATGTACAGTAATTGACTTCTATTCATTTTACATCAAATTAAAACTTTGGGTGTCAGATAATTATTTATTAAAAGCTAGACATTTTAAATGAGAATAAGAAAGAAAAGTATGTCTTTGTGCCCCCTTTTCCCAGTTAATGCCCTATCGGCCCCCCTGGCTAAACTTTGCTAGATCCGCCCCTGCACAGTTACCAGCCGTCAGCTACGTAGAAAAAGATCCTGGTGTAGAAATTAATATTAAATAAATTCTAACAACAGCTTATCAAGCTTAAACGTGCTGCTGTTGTTCAGCCGCTGGTTTGCTCTTTCTGGCGCAAAGTGGACCAAAAACAAACGAGAGACAGACTCGCGACAGAAAAGCCGATCAGCTGATTTAAGCAGTTTCACGATTGAAGTAGCAGCCGGAGAGCGAGAGGCAGTCGCTTGTTAAGCTTAACGTGGGAATGCTTTACAAACATTCAGAGATGGACTTACACACTTGCTTTACTTCTCTCGGGGATAACTTTGTCGGAGATGAAATGCCAGGTTGCTAGCGAAGCTCCACATGCTATCCAGACCACCGACAGGTCCTGCATGCCACAGCTGCTCTATCACGTGATGCATACGTTCTGAGGTGAGTTACGGCGTGTTGCAAGTTTTGTGAGGTGCTTTCGTGATATTTAATGGATCGGATTACATTTTTTATTTTTCTCCGATATCCGATCCAGTAATTTAGGTCAGTATCGGACCGATACCGATACGTAATATCGGATCGGTCCATCTCTAATAAAAATTGGTGTATTTCAAAAATAAAACTATGAAGACACTCAAAATAAATTTCCTGTGGTGGGAAACTATTTTGTGCAACTTTTTTGTATTTACAGTTTTGAGGGATAAGCCTCTTAATTTTCTCTAACTACAAATATATGTTAAAAAAGCAAAAAAGATTTTCAATTTTTTTGTAGTTTATTGCACTTTTTTGCAATTTATGTAATTACTATGCACTTAATGAATATATATTATTAAAATCTGGGCTATAATGGTTGTATTGATGTATAGCAACTTGAAATGCTCCCAAAAATGGCTGCACAGCATGTAAAAATATAATATAAGCTCTGGCGGACTTGGTTCTATGGTAGGTCTTAAAGGGTTAAACTGCAGGAATGTCTTAGAGACATAACAACCTGGATGACCTCTAACTGTCATGGCTACTGAACGGACTCACGCGCAGACAGTTCTTTCTCAGAGAACAAAAGGAGATTTATTTACAACAGGGATCACCTCAGTGCTATATATATGTACAGTGAGTTGGGAGGGGGGGTCCAGGGCTCCAGGGAGAGAAGATCCACACACACGCTTCCTCTTCCACTCAGTCACCGCCACAGCTCCTCCGCACACACGCACTCCTCTTCAGCCGCACTCGCTCCAAAACTCCACACACGCTGCCACACCCGGGCAGGTCCCGTGATTTGGTCCAGAAGAGGGATATCTACACACAGAAGTTAACGTTAGTGCCACAGCAAAATACACACAGGGGATTCTTTTGAAAATGCCGAGCGCGCGAACTCAGGAGGTTCAACATTCCAGTGGTGAGCTGCTCTGTGCCACTGCCTTAAATAGCAGCTGGGGAAATCAGCCAGATCAGCAGCAGGTGGACACAATCACACAGGTGCGTGGGCCAAGAGCGAGAGCCCGTAACGAGCTCCACCCAGGCAGAGAGGAGGAGGAGAGACAAAGAAAACAAAAACGAACAACAACAACAAAACCTGTAGCCAGCGTGGGCCAACCAGTGAGACACGGGGACCGTGACACTAACTTTCTGCTTCTTAATTCAGATAAAACTGAGGTTATTGTATTCTGCCCCGAAAATCTTAGAAATATGGTATCTAACCAGATTCCCACCCTGGATGGCATTACTTTGGCCTCCAGTAACACTGTGAGGAAAGTCACTTGATGTTACTTGATGGTGACTTGTGCTATGAGCTTGAAGTTGGCCTCTAGTGTTGTACACCACATCCCCATTGAGTTCCTGATGATTTATAGCTCTTAGGGTCCTGTTGATCTTGTATAGTTCTAGTCATTCCAGGATCCAGCTGTGGGGCATCGAGTCACAGGCCTTCTTGTAATCTTGTAATCATGTCGGGGCCTGGTGCTGTCCAACTCTTCATACTGGAGACCCTTTCTTGGATATCTGCCACTGTGATTGTTACTGGTCCCAGTTCAGGGAGGTTGCTGTGGTTGCTCTTAGATCCACTAGCCAACTAGACAGTGAGCATTGCTGTTATAGGTTGCATCCTTCTCCCATATTGCAGTATTTCAGTATTGCACAGTCTCCAGTGTTACGGCCCTAGCAGGGCCCCCTCCTGAAGGTGCCTGTGTGGGCGTGTCCTTCAATCGCTTCTGCCTGAGGTGCCACCTTTTCTCCTTTACACAGCTGACTCACATCAGTAATTAAAGGGATTTAAGCCCAGGTACAGGTGAGCTCTGGGCCAGAGTGCCATGTGAATGATTACAGCTAGTGAGCTGTGTTTTTCCAGTTTGCAGCTAGTGAGCTGTGTTTTTCCAGTTTGCAGCTAGTGAGCTGCTCTCTCTTTTTGACTTATGTTTTTACTTTATTGACCAATGCTTGAGTTTTGTTTGTTTCCTTAAATGGTGATAGTGGCTTGTCAGTCTCTTTTAGTTGAGCTATTTTAATAAAACTCTTTAATTTAACCCTTTTGCCTCCTTGACTCCTTTTTCTGATCCGGACACACCGCCTAGACCACTCAGGGGAACATAACAAGTGGGGGCTCGTCCAGGATATTTGAAAAGGGAGCTTCAAGTTGGATTTGGTTTTTGATTATCTTGCTTTGTCACCTTTTTGAGTACCACAACTTATTTTTGTGCCAGTTTGACACAATTAGCAACCACACAGGCTTGTGACAGAAGAAACACAGTTTAGGCCTAGATCTTAAAACCGTAACTGCATTTGCCTTGTTAGCTGGCCCACTCTTACTTAACACCGTAACACCAGCCTTGGTGTTGCTGTTCTCATATTGTTGCACTGCCACTGAGAGTACCCTTTGGCTGGTTCTGTCGAGAACAGCTGGTTTATTCTCCTGCCTTCTATGTCTCTGGTGTATGTCTTCAAGCAGATGGCCAAGGCTGTGAGTCTTTGCTTGGCAGTCTCCAAGGCCTCAGGTATGGACAGCTTGCTGTACTTCTTAGGCACCTTCTTCATTGCACCTTATGGCAGATCCGATAGTTGGCTAACCTCCGTCCATGCTACCTTGATCTTGACTTCTAATCTCCTTCACTATGGAGGGTACCTCTCCTTGTGGCTGTTCAACTTATAGCCAAGCATCTCACTGATCACTGCTGCCGTAGTGTAAGTCAGGTGGTTAGTCTTAGTAATGGTTGCGGTAGGTATTGTCCATAGCACTGCACTTGCACAATCTAGTAGATGTTCTAAGGGTACTTCACGTAGTGTTGGTAACCGACTATGGAGGATTCAGGTTTCCAGCTTTGCCATGATCCTATCTTTCTGGTCAGTTGCCCTCACACTGAACGATACCGTCTTGTTCCAGTAGAACACTTTTCACCAGGGTGCCCTAATTCCTGAACACCTGACATTGACCTTGTTAATCCAGGCAATGTCCAAACCAGTATGGCTTTATATTTATCTCTCTCATTCATATCTGTGGTAGACTTGGTTAGCATGGTGGTCTAGCCTAAGATCGATACTGGATACAAACAAACCCTCAGCCAACTGAGTGTTAATTTTGTAAAAAAAACAACAACAACAACAACCACATGTTAACGATCTATAATGAAAGCCAAAGCAGCACCAATGAGTTCAAAACAATCCCTGAACCCATTGGTGCCACAACTGTTCTGATATCAGTTCTCCAGTTTATCTTGCAGCAGATAGGTAAAATAGATCAAATAATATACTATGTTTTTAATGAGCATTATCTTTCAGGATTCTGAAAGATGTGTCCCATACAGCAGTGACAGCAGTAAAGACTAGCTGGGGATATTTTCAAATTCAATTGATCAATTAAAAAACAAATGATTTAATCATATTCCACTTGTAAGTCAACCATCATATTTATTTAATATATTGTGACACAGACTTCAGTTATCTGGACCGGAGAAAGAGAAAGTAAAGAAGGAGGCTTTGGAGCTGTCACTGAAGTACAGTTTTGTGACTCCTCTCACATCTATGGTGGTCACAAAGCCTCCAGGAGAGAACACAGATGTGCTTCATAAACCAAAGGAAGGTGAAACACCACAGAGATGGCAGCCCCTTGTAGGGAAGTCCTCTTCAAGACAATATTTGGCTCCTAGTAGTCGCCGTTCATCTGGTGAGTATCACAAACACAAAAAGACTGAAATAAATGAAATGTTTCATAATCTCTACTTTTAGCCCCCAGACTAATGTCATTGTCAAGTTAAGGGGGGAAAAAAAACATATGCATCAAACTACCATGCCCTGACTATCATCTTGTCTTTATTTTTATTTAGCACATACCTTAAACATTTAAAGCTGTAAGCTAATGATAGTTATATAAGAGCAGATGCATGCTGGTGCAATAAGCTGTACGTTTTATGTCCAATGGATGTATGATCTGATTAGTCGACTAATCAAAAAAATAATTGGTGACTAGTCGATTATCAAAATAATCGTTTGTGGCAGCCCTAGTCCTCTCCAGGTTCCTCCCACAGTCCAAGGACATGCAGTTGGCAGGGTTGGATTAACTGATTATTTTAAACTTAAACTGTCCATAGGTGTGAATGTCAGTGTGAATGGTTGTGTGCCTCTCTGTTTCCCTTTCATAAAACAGCCACCCTTCCACTGGGGCCATTTCTGATCAGGCTTAGAACCTTAAAACCTCTAAGGATACTTCTAAATTGAAGACCTTTCAGAATGTTTTTATTTATTTTTTTCAGTTTATTAATGGGATAATGTACCTGTAATACTATCGGAGACTATGGTAAATTTTTACAACTACCTGCAAAAGGCTAATGGGGTAGGTTCTCAGCCATCCAGGTCATGGTAGTCTAAGGAGCTTGGAATCTAAGTTAATGGACTTCTTTAAGTTTCTTGAAGATGTTTCACCTTTCATCTGAGAAACGTATTGAGTTCTAGAACCAAATGAGAATTTTCACCAAGCATGACATCCCAGTCCACTTCAGACCCAGCCACACCTCTACATCACAGAATCCAAACAGCCATACTATAAACACATGACATAGAAGAGCCATCTTGACGGGACAAGACTTGGCTGTACAACTGGATCTAAAGGTCAAAGGTCACTCTGTCAAGGATGGCAATGTTCACATTTTGGAAACCGAAGACAGATAATCTGAAAGAGGAGTAAAAGAAGCTATTTATGTCTACTGTAAATGACCATCTTTGAACAGAGGGGGTTGCTTACAACACCAACTGTCTGCCACCTACAAACCAGCTTTGAGATCCCTTCCCAGCTCACGCCCCACTTACATCTAGCATCAGGTGAAGCAAGGTCCCACAGTGGTTTAACCCAAAAACCTCTTGTGATAATGACCCATGCCTTTTTCACACTTTGGCTCATGTGATGAGTCACATGATTAATAGTCCTCTTAAGGGACCTCCACTAGGGTATAAATGCAACCAGGAGATGACGGACTAGAGCAGCGCAGATACTGAAGGACCCGTCCCATCCTGGCAACAAACTGTTCCAACTTCTGCAATCCGGTAGAAGTCCGATTGTCTATTCTTATTTAAGTCACGTAATGTACAGAATTCACCTGAAAAAGGATTCTCTGGTCGAGGTACAGTGCTTAACAAATGTAATAGACCATCACCTGATGCAAGGTTCATGTAATTGCTACCATAAAATTAACAGTATTGGTAACTACCAAAACAAATCTGTTTATTGGAATAATTAATACACCAGTATGTGCAAGCTGTTTAATTAAAATCATATTGTCAATGCTAAAATATAATCATTAATATTATCCCTGAATTTTCAAATGTACTCTTACAAAAACATACAAAAGTATATAATAAAAACAGATATTTCCTTCTTATATGTTACTGTTTCTTTTTAGTCATGCAACAGCACACCCCCAGAGGAGAGAGAGGAAAGATTGGACATTCTGGAGCAGGTGAAGTGCTTAACAAATTTATTAGATCACCCAATGCAAGGTTTATGCATCTGCTGCTTTAGATTAACAGTATTGGTAACTACCAATTTTGTATTTTTTTTTTTTGGGGGGGTGGAATAATTACTCCAACAGTATATACAAGCTATTTAATCAAAATCATATTGTTAATGCCATCCATCCATCCATTTTCATCCGCTTTGTCCGGGGCCGGGTCGCGGGGGCAGCAGCCTAAGCATATTGTTAATGCTAAAATATAATCATTAATATTATCCCTGAATTTTCAAATGTACTCTTACAAAAACATACAAAAGTATATAATAAAAACAGATATTTCCTTCTTATATGTTACTGTTTCTTTTTAGTCATGCAACAGCACACCCCCAGAGGAGAGAGAGGAGAGAGTGGACATCCTGGAGCAGGTGAAGTGCTTAACAAATTTATTAGATCACCCAATGCAAGGTTTATGCATCTGCTGCTTTAGATTAACAGTATTGGTAACTACCAATTTTGTATTTTTTTTTTGGGGGGGGGTGGAATAATTAATCCAACAGTATATACAAGCTATTTAATCAAAATCATATTGTTAATGCCATCCATCCATCCATTTTCATCCGCTTTGTCCGGGGCCGGGTCGCGGGGGCAGCAGCCTAAGCATATTGTTAATGCTAAAATATAATCATTAATATTATCCCTGAATTTTCAAATGTACTCTTACAAAAACATACAAAAGTATATAATAAAAACAGATATTTCCTTCTTATATGTTACTGTTTATTTTTAGATTAACAGTATTGGTAATTACCCAAAAAACCTGTGTGCACAGTTTTAATGCGTAATTTTACTGGGTTTCCTAACATCTGTTCTTCTAGTGAAGCATTCAAAGCTTTTATATGAATTCATATGTACTATCAGGTTTTGCATTTGTGGGGTAATAGAATAGAATACAATGCTTTTTATTGTCACTGTACACATGCACAATGAGATACAGAGCATCTCCTTCTCAGTGCAGACATGTAGGAAAAGAAACGGGGAGGGGGGCACCGTTTTGCAGCACTATATACATATGAACAGTATTAAATTAATTAAATATTACACAGTAGTGATGGTAAAGAGTGTAGTCTGGGTGTAGAGGGTAGTCCTTGGATTGGGAGGTGGTATTGTATTGTCAGTGCAGCGTGGTTATGGCTTTTTGGAAGAAACTATTTACGCTGCATCTGTAGTGTTTCCCTGAGTGAAGCAGGTTGAACAGGTCAAAACCAGTGTAGGAGCTGTCTTTGATAATGTTTGTCAACAACATTTCTAACAAGTTGAAGTGCAAAAATTAGAATTTATGTACAAACTATGTTTACAGACTGACACTGAGTTGTGAGACTCAATATATACGTGTCTTTATTTATTTATTTAAAGCAGTGGTTAGTATCAGGATGTGTTTATAAACTCAATATGCAACATAAAGACTTAAAATATTAGTGTATGTGATTAAATGTATTTACAGTTGTTCTCCCTGATGTCCAACCTGCTGTTGTTCATCTTTCACGTGATACTACTACTCTGGAATCCACTGATGGTATTGTATTGCCTTGATGTCATTCAGGTTGATAAAAAAAAAAATAGTAATTGTTTTGGTTTGGTTTCTTTTGTTTGTTTGCTTTTTTTGTATTGCAAGTTCCAAACAACCCATGATGTACTCAGATATGCAGCAAATTACATACTTTTTTTCTGGAAGGAAACTCCAAACATGGGCTGTTTTTCAAATCTCTTCATTAACCATAAAACAAAAAGAAAAGCAAACAAAATTGTAAGAATAATATGTTATATAAATCAGGCTCTGCATAGTATGTATGAACAATTGTGTATTTTTTGGATTCCTGGCTCAGGGGTTATAAAGCACATTTTGGGTAGAAAACCTGGGGTGAATATTTAATTTCACTAAAAATGTTCTAACACTGTGTACCTCTGTATCTCTAGTTCCTGTACTCCACAGGTTTTTGCTAAAAGCTGAGAACCAGACTGTTCCACTATGCTTTGATGTCAGTGGACCTGTCCGCCTTAAACTTCTTCACTATCCCAGCAGGGGTCAGTAGTGTTAGCTTTTTCCATCCTAATATTTCTTTTCAGTGTAATAAAAACTGTTACTCTTCTTTCTCATTGTTATTTTCATATGAAAACTCCAGTTTGTGGTATAAGATGAGCATTTCTCTTTTCTTCTAGAACTGTCTGTAAATGGTGAGCTTGATTCAGTTACAAATGGAGGCTTCAGCAGAATTTTCATACACGTCAAAGACAGCCAACATGTTGAGATCGACACCAACTGGGTCACTGTACGAGATGGACAGACAGTGACATATTACACTGGACAGGATCGCATTACAGCTGGAAGGTGATGTTGTATTATCATGGTCGAGACTCGTGCTCTCAGCTTTAAGCACAGATGTGTGACCTTATTCACCTGTGTTACCAAGATTTACATGAGAAGACTGTCTCTCTCAGCACCTATATATGTTAGCTGACATCTCTGAGGCTGAAACCCCTAAAAAGTTTGTTTTTTATTTTGTGTTGATTATTGAGCAGATGAGATGTGATTTCAGTAAGGACAGATCATTTGAAAGCACTGGCAATTCATTGAAGTAAAGAGTATGAATTATAAGCTATTTGGTGATTAGACATAGTGTAACAGATCAGAGTCAATGTTAGGAGGGTACATGCGAATGGTGGATGAGGTAAAGCAATTGGAAGAGGTGGGTCACATGAAGGAGCAAAATGATAAGAGGCTGTGAGATTTAAAACACACAGAACAGAGATTAGCTGGCTCAGAAAAGGAAAGCGAAAGCAGGAACATGATTGTTTCTCACATGAGTGGATTTGAGTAAAGCCCAAATGCACGAGAATACAGGCAGACGAGTGCATACAGATTTTTACTTTTTATGCTGAGGTAGGCTGCAGTCCATAGATTTACATTTACTTATAGACTTATGTTTACTTATTAGAAACCAAGCCAGCACTGTGTCAGATTGAGGACCTGTCCAGGGTGTACCCCAACTTTCAAGGATAGGCTCCAGCTCCTAGTTCCTAGGAAGAAAGTGGAAGAAAATGCATGGATGGGTGGAAATAATTATTTGTTCAAGCCATGGACTGAAGAATGAAAATGGCAGGGGCAGACATTAAGTAGAGTTTGTCATGAATTGACTGTCATAAATTCATTTTTACAAAATATGCTAACATTAAAGGCTCTGTACTTTATGCACTACACTGCTGTTTAATCAGAGCAGGCTAAATTCATCCAAGTAGCATGATCTGTGCAGGTGCCTTGAACCGTTACGTTTTTTTTAAAAAAGTTGAGTAACTCCATGTTTTTCCAGTGTGACAGTGATTGTGCGCAACAACGAAATAGACGTTGCCACTGGAGACATGCGAATGGTCATCATAGTTCATGAGAAGAATGGCCAAAAATTATTTTGGCCAGTTTTAAGACGGCGTCCCTCGGACAACAATGCTGAAGGACTTTTAGGTGAGTGAAAAGCTGTGTGTGTTTGTGATCTGTAGGTTGCGAACGAAACGGCTCTTAGAGCCGCCTCTTTGAAGTGAACAACGCAAGTTTCTTTTCTTTTTTTTCTTTCTCTCACCCTCTCTCGCATTTTTTTCCCGCTTCACTCTGCACGCGAGCCCTGTGCTTGCACTGGGGAGAGGGGGGAGAGACGGTAGTTACACTGCAGTAGCACAGGAACAGAGTGGGAGGGAAAGAGAGCCAGGGACAACAACGTCACATTAGAAAGGTAGAGTAATCATCCACAACTATTTTCAGTTGCGGATGATAAAGGATTCAGAAAGTTTATTCATGCAGACCTATATGACAAAGAATGTGCATCTTCTTTTTGTTTTCATATTTTTTTCATGTGTATATTTAATTGTGTTGTGATTTGCAGTGTTTTGTGTTGTTTCACTTTAAATTTGTTTAAAAGGAAAAAGCTGAAAATTTAAATAGTTAAAAGTTGAAATGTAAATAGTTGTTTTTTGTATTATATGATTTATTTATTACATTTTGTGTGGAGTGAATAAATAAAAGTATACTTACAGTGGCCCCTAGAGACGAAACACGTACAAACTCCAAAACACGTAAAAACTCCAAAACACGTACAAACACAACAGAAGTGCTCCAGGATGCTAGGCGCAGTGTTGAGCTTTTGTTACCTAGTGGCTACACAAGCCAGGAAGTACCAACGACCGGATTTGGTGTGTGGTAGTAACAGGTAAATGAACCTTTTTGTTTAAATTATTTGAATATATATGGGTGCTTGTGTATAAATACACAAACAATACACATATGCTTTCAATTGTGTAATTTAAGTGATCTAGGGTAGCTCTGTTTTGGAAGTTCAGCTAATGCTAGAAATGTGTTTTGGAGTTTGTACGTGCTTTGGCCAAAGTATATATTTATATATAAACATTAGGGGTGCAACGATATTCGTATCGATATTGAACCGTTCGATACCGTGCTTTCGGTTCGGTACGCATATGTATCGAACAATACAAAATTTGTAATTTATTTTATCAACTTTCCTTCTGACGATGCTGTCTGTGTTGAGCGCTCAGTGAATCTGCGTTCGACTACTCCGCCTAGGCTGCACTGCCGAGCGCAGATCCACTGAGCGCTCAACACAGACAGGATAGTCAGAAGGAAGAGCGCAGGGCAAGCTAGCAAGACAGAAGTTAAGCTCTCCTGGCAACATGGCAAATTGAACCTCCCCCACCCTCATTCAGATGTGGCGTTTGGAATTATTTTGGTTTTCATGTGACGTATGACCCTGAAGGTAAGCGCGTCATGGACTAAAGTAAAACAGTATGTTGGATGTGCCACGCAATGCTCAATTACATGGGTGGGAGCTAGTGTGTTAGCGCAGTTAGCTCGTTAACGTGTTGGCCGTCTAGCCCCATGCACGGGGCGATCAGGGGTAGCTCGTTAACGGAGATTTGCCGTGTTGTGGCGTTAACGTCATTTCAACGAGATTAACCTGAAAGCACTAGTGGGAACACAACGAATATGACTGCACATTTACTCCGACATCATCCTAGTGCAAAGACAAGTGGAAGCAGACAACAACAACAAGCAAGCATGCTACAAACTTTAGCCAAGTCGTTTAGACAGCCGTTAGCACATGATTCAACTTATGGGGACCTGATATGTTTAATATGCTGCTGAGAATATAGCCCAGAAGAAGCGTATAGTATAGCTTTTATTTTGGAAAGAGCCATTTCTCTGTAATAAACTCTCTTTTCCAAAGATGAGTGATTCCTCAATCAGATACAGGGCTCGCAATATCGCTAGCCCGACGTCCCGGGGCTAGCGATTTTTCCAGTCGGACTACCAAAATCTATCTCTGCCCTGCCCGTCGGCCTATCGCAGGAAGGAAAAATATATGTGAATGCTTTTGCATTCTTTCGGAAATGTAGCTGGGTAATTATGTCATTGGCATCGGTGAGCCACTGTCAATATGTGACATATTGAAATCGCGTTTGAATTTGCGCTTGTTTTTTGCTTTCACTTTGCAATCGTGCAAACTGTGTATAGAGAGCGACAGCACTGATCTGTGAGTGATCATAATTTGTGCACAAATTCCTCTGACATCGTCTTATCAATCGTTAGCTTACTATGCAAACATGACAAGTGAAATCTCCTGCAGCAAGCTTAAACATGTGAGAGGTTGATCGCGCAGAGAATCGCTGAGCGTTATGCGAGTCCGTGTGTAAAAGCAGCAGGATATATATTTTAGTTCTGCTGAGCCAAATAAGACGGGTCAGGGTGAAGAAGTGACAGCCAAAGAAAAGCTTACCACAAAACGGAAAAGTTATGACAAATCAGACTATAAGGCAAAAATAAAGTGCAGCTTTATGGTTTCATGGACAAAAGAATTTCTGTTGCTGCAATATGACGAGCTAAATAACCAGGGCTGCACATAAGTGGTCCGCAGGTGCGCATTCGCTGTCAAAATAAAAAACACGCACAAGGGTTAGGGTTAAATTTAAAAACTGTACTTTTGAGTTAAAATATATATTTATAATTTTAATAAATGACAAATTAAAAAGGCATGAACATTTTTTTTGTATTGAAAAAATATCTAACCGTGACACCAAAGTATCGAACCGAACCGTGAATTTTGTGTATCGTTGCACCCCTAATAAACATATATAAACAAAACCCCGTTTTTTTGTTTTTTTTTACATTATTAATTCCTTTTGTGCATAGTTTTATATTGCTGTTAATAATTAATTAAAGCAACAAAACAACCTAAAGAGCCAGCTCTTTTTAGTGAGCCAAACCGAAAGAGCCCGTTCTCTAAAAAGAGCTGGAAATCCCATCACTAGTGTTTTTGCACGCGTGTGTGTCCTTGCTGCATTGGTTTTCAATCTTAGCTCTTGTCTCACTCTCTCTTTTCAGCTGTAGAGGCTGCAGTTTATGAGGAGGTACAGCAAGCTCCTGTCAGAAAACTAAAGATCAAAAATCAGGAGGCAGACGTTACTGGGTATATTTTCTTTTCTTTTTTGTATTTATGTTTTTGTTTTGCTTTAGAATCCAGCCATTTCTACAAAGATTAATGATCTCTTTATTCTTTCTTTTGTAGGGAGATGGTTGTTGACTACAGCTTTGCTTCTCCTGTCTCAATGAACTGTTGGCTCATGTCTGCTGACTCTGCCCTGCAGAGACCACTGTTCCAGTTTGTCATTACACAGCTTTAACTGGCAAATATGTTGATTTATTTGAAAAATCTTTAATTTAAAAGGAAAACAAGGCAAAAACATATATTGTGGAAACTTTCTTTCCATCTGTTTCCAACATGTAGAAATATAACTGTGAATGTGGATCTAGTGTCAGACAGCATTACCAATTAAAAATAACATACATAAATCAGGATTTATGATTACCACCATCTGCCATTAACATAGCGTCCAAAATGACACAAATGCAGTTGAGATGACAATAATAGGCATACTTCTACACCTTTATTTTTTAAATACGTTGAAAAATGTAAATTTTTGTAAATTTTAACTACAGTAATCATATTGTTATAGCTAAATGTTAATCAGCTTTGCTGGCTGATCTGGAAGAGAGTTGGATTGTAGAAGGTTTGCTTATAAATAACAATTTCAAATATTTCTGAATCCTGGTTAAGTACCAGAACATTGAGAGAGGAAACTTTTTAAAACATCTCTTCTGTTTTGTCTTTAGCCTCAAACTGCAAATGACATGTAATGAGGCTGACTTGATTCAAGGATCTCTGACAAATATAATGCTGTTATTTTTCTTGCATAATTTCATGACTTCCTCAGAACAGTTTATGGAATGGATATCAAGCGAATGAATAAAGAATCCAAACTATTCCCTAACCTTGTTTGCGAGCTCTTCTGTACAACAGCTGTAAGCCCCTCCTGCTGGGGAGGTTGATGTACAAGAAATTCAAAACATGCCTCCCATGAACCACTAGGAGGAAGTAGGTCAAATGCAATGGTTATGCTGCTGTGCAAAAGTCTTGAGCCACCCTTGTTTCTTTGAAGTTTTCATTTGGACATTGGCTCCCTTTTCGCTCATTTACGTCCAGTATTACTTGAGTATTTGCAAGGAAATGCTACATATTATATATATAGCATTTCTTTGCATTATGTTTTTCTATAGCCACTTAACACTGACCTATTCCTGCATAAGGAGGCACCTAGCTCAAACAATGAAACAGTTTAGAACCCATTCGTAAATTGTAATACCTTTCTTTCTAGTAGCATGTGGCACAAACACATAACTTCAGCCAATTTCTTTAGTTGAATCTATAAAAGGTGCCAATGATAACAATGTGACAGGTGGGAAAAAGTATTTTTCCACCAACCAAAGAGCTATTAGCTGAAAATGCATATGAGTGCAGTGTGTCCTTAAAAGCACTGGGGGAAACACAACAAATAGTGGACAAAGATGAAATGGCAGGCCTAAAACGACTATCTACAGCAGATGAACACTATCGGAAAGTCATGTCCTGAAGAGCTGCATCTGGCCCTGTTCACTAAAGCCTCATCAGAAACGGTCTCAGTGGAAGGGTGGCTGTCAAGAAGCCATTTGTGCGACATGGAAAGAGAAAGAAAAGGTTCAGTCATGCCAAATTACATAAGAAGTGGACTGAAAATCAGTGAGAAAATGATATGGTATGAAGTGATGAGTCCAAATGTTGGTTCAAAATCTCAATATGAAAAAAAGAGGTCAGAAAAGCAGAACACGGACCTGGGAATAATGTCACAATCAAGTAAACGGCATTCTGGTTAGCCTTGTCAGAGAAGTCGGGATTCCAATTAGTGATGGTAAATTTGATTCTTTTTTACTGAATCAAGTTTTAATGAGTCACTCACCAAAGTGAATCGGGTTTTTTGAGTCATTAGATTCACTGAGTCAGTTGACCAGAGAGTGCAAGAAATATACATTTTCACTCAAACTTAATTTGTTTCTCTTTTCATGTATATCCTACTGCTAAGATGAGTGATTCTAAAAGAAAACAACTATTTTATAGAGCAAAAAAGGGCAAAAACATTTCTAAAATTAAGCAATTTCATATCAAAATTGCTTAAACATTTATTTTGTTTATTTTTATTTTATTAGTATTTTCCTTAAATGTGTCAAATATATATTTTCTCATCTAAATGTCCACTGAGCTGTGAGCCAGGGGGCGGTAATGCACCTTAACATTGGTTGCCAACTGTAACCCCCCTCAGTCTCTATGTCCGGTGCTGTGTGAGTAAAACTCTCTGGATCCGAGATGGGTAGAGCTCAGGCGTGGTTTATTCCCCTTTTTGCGGGTCTCTGCAATAACATAGGACATGAATAACCATGGGTTTCCAGTAACAGGATTCCGCCAAACACAGCAAAAGCTTCATTGCTACAAACGGATAACCTAATGATCGTATAGTGGAACTCTCAGTTTTCTTAAAATAAATGAAAAAATAAATATTGATTGAAAAATAAAATGGCAACAAAACTTATTACGGAAAATAAAATAAAAATATTACTGCATTGTGGTTTAGGTAAAAAAAAAGAGAAATTAATTCACTTAAATGCACATTCATGTGAAAATAAATAAACTTCCAGACCAAAGCCAAAATTTCCTTTCATGTACAATAGTAAATGGAACAATGCTGCCATCTACTGGGCAAAACTTAATAAGCAGTATTTCTTAAACAGAATTAGCCTGCAGCTCAACCAAATACATGTTTCAAAATACACATACGTGCAATAACATGAGACATGAATAACCATGGGTTTCCAGCAACAGGATTCCGCCCAAACTATCAAGAGAAGTTTCAAATTATTAGACACGACAGTCTCCTCTAGCTGTTAGCTGCTAGCTCAGCGTGTCCACTTTTCCTACCGTCTAACCCATTAATTGCAAAACAAGATCATAAAACCGAAATCTACTCAGATGCTACTGTATGGGCAGTTCTTGCTGTTAATGCACTGTCATGTTAACCTCAATGAGGATTTTCAAATATGTTTGTGGCAGAGAAAAGGACATTAAAGAAACTGATGGACATTATGAACAATGCTGGGCATCCTCTGCACACGGCCATTAACAACCAGAAGAGTCTGTTCAGTGACAGGTTGCTTCTCCCCAAGACAAGAACTAACAGACTTAAAAACTCCTTTGTCCCACACGCCATCAAACTGTTTAACTCCTCTCTGGAGGGGAGAGGGAGGGGAAACAGGAGGACAAAGGAGGGGGGAACAACTAAGCTGTAGTGCCTCTTCACCTCACTGTACAATACCTTGTGCAATACTTTTTGTAAATAGTCAATGGTGCAATAGACCTCAATACTTGAAATGTGCAATTCACTTGTATTTTTATTTTTATTCCTATTTATTCTATTTATCCTCTTCGTATATTTTATTTATATTTGTCTCTGTATTTATATATGTGTGTGTGTGTGTGTGTATATATATATATATATATATATATATATATATGTTTCTACTCTGGTCGAAAGAATCCACGCTTCGTACTGATGTCCACAATTCTTTTATTCCTCTCACAATCATGGAGCACCGTGAAAACTAGAAACAAGTAAAATAATATCGATAGCACATATGATATTCATCTCAGCCACTTATTTCCTTTCACAAGGTGCACAAGTGTTAAACAAATAACAGCATAATGATTTTTTACCGTGTACGCCTTGTAAAACCAGCAGTAGAAAAGTTGTATATTCCGAAAAGTCCGCCGTGTTACCGTTCTGTCTTGTCTCTCCCGCGCACAACTTCCGGTTCCCGCAACTCACAGGAAGTGACTACTTCACAATAATATTTTAACAGAAACATTTCTTATAAGCAGGATATATCACTGGATTCATAGATTACCTTTCCTACTGCAAATGTACACAAGCATGAGAAGCAAATAAAGAAAACAAATAGAAAACAATAACGATCTCAGATTCACTTTGGTGTTGTCATGGCAACCCACACAAACATTTCAGCGTCAGCTACACTCCCACCAATTACCTTTGATTATTACAATTGAGAACGTAAATACACTTGAATTTCTCATTATATCAATGGTAATTCCCAAGCACCATGTTGTTGTTTTAAACATTCTTGCATTGACATAAACAATATTCTTTTCTCAACAAATGAATTCAACAATATGAACAGTAGATTTTACATCTCCATAACATGTGCATGAAGTACAGCATAATGACAACTTCTATTTTAGAAGGGAAATCTAATCAATGAATGACATTTTTCCCATTTAGCTGTTTTTCACCAGGACCACTAATTTCTGAATGGGTCTCTGAATGATTGAGGGTTGGACGAGGCGTTCGCCTCCCTTTCCTAACTTCCGATCACCAGTCTGGATTGTCGCCTTCCGTACAAGTCCATCATCATCCTCATGTGCTTCCACAACCCTAGCAAGTTTCCATTCATTGCGAGGAACATCTTCCTCTTTGAGAATCACAATGTCACCCACCTCCACATTACGTCTTGGTGTATGCCATCGCTGTCTCAGAGCAATATTGGCCAGGTATTCCTTTCTCCATCTGTGCCAAAATTGCTCAGTCAAATACTGTACCCTTCTCCACCGTTTCTTAGCATACAGGTCCTCCTTGACGAATTTACCTGGAGGTGGAAGTGGGACTGAGGATTTCATGGTGATCAAGTGGTTCGGTGTGAGTGGCTCCAAGCTTTTGGGGTCATTGATGTTATCAACAGTGAGTGGGCGGTTATTCACGATGCACATAGCTTCATAAAGGAATGTCCTCAATGAAGCATCATCCAACCTTCCCACACTGCAGGCAAGGACTGTGCTCAGTACGCTTCTCACTGTCCGGATTTGACGCTCCCATGCGCCTCCAGCATGACTAGAGTGGGGCGTATTCATCTGGAAGTCGCACTGATTTTCTGCTAGGTATGCAGTCACTCTTTCCTTATCAAGTTCTTTCAGAGCCTTTGCCATCTCGTTTCTTGCCCCCATAAAGTTAGTTCCCTGATCGGACCTAATGTGCCTAACAGCTCCACGAAGGGCAATGAAGCAGCGCAAGGCATTGATGAATGCGTCAGTCGTCAAATCCTCCAACATCTCTATATGCACTGCCCTTGAGCAAAAACATGTGAAGAGGAGGCCGTACCGTTTTTGATCTTTGCGACCTTGTTTGGTGTGAAAAGGACCAAAGCAGTCCATACCACAATAAGTGAATGGTGGTGTGGGATCAACACGGTCACTAGGTAGATCTGCCATCCGTTGCTCCTCTGGTGGCGCGCGGGCTCTCCTGCACTGTACGCACTGCCTGATGTATTGGGCTACAGCCTTACTTCCACCAGTGATCCAGTAACCATTGGCTCTCAGGGCATTGAGGGTTTGTCCTCTGCCTTGGTGTTGTATCTTGGTATGATGGTGTGCAATGATGAGGTTTGTAACAGCACCATCTTTAGGAAGGATCACTGGGTGTCTTAACTCAAGAGGCACAGATGCCTTCCTCAGTCTTCCTCCTACTCTCATTATGCCATCTTGGAGAAATGGGTCAAGCTGAAAGAGTTGGTGGTTGCAAGGCAGCCTTCCTAGTTTCTGGCTGAGTGTGTTTAACTCCTCTTGAAAGGCATCTTGTTGTGCAAGCTTGACGAGAGTCTGTGCAGCTTGCTTTCTCTCTTCCACGCTTAAAGGCTCAGCGGTCCTGATCCTCTTTGCCAGCCGCTGGATACGAGCAATGACGTTGACAGCTGTAGTCCATCTTGAGAACCGCAGCAGATGCTTCTGGATGTCAAACTGCCTTGCTACATCAACCTCCAACACCTGAGTAGTCCTCACCTCTGGGTCTCCCACCAGCAAATCTGAAGTAGCCTGTTTTGTGGCTATCTCTCTTTCCCA